GGGACTTTATGTATGCCTAAAGTCAAAGGCCCTCAAAGATTCCAGAATGAACAAGAATGTCACGAGTTAGAGGGTTCTGCATTTGAATCTGCCTATATTAGATGTATGAAATTGGGCGAATTACTTGTTTTCTCCATACCTATTTCTTCCTTTGTACTCTAGAATCCACTCTAGTATGTACTTTAGTATGCTAGGTACGGTTCTAGAAACTAGAATTGTAGCAACATTTGGCTATGGACTCGTCAATGGATTAATGCAATAACAATAAGACAAAGCCCATGTCTTTATGGAGTACACATTCTGTCAGGGAAATATATACAATAAGCCCTTAAGCACATAAATATGTGAAATACTTTCAGATATTAATAACTACTTCTACACGACTCTGGTGCAGAAGGTATCTCTGTTAAGGTAGAGTCTTGGGTACTTATAACAGAGTGATCTTTTGTAAATATCTGGAGGTGAGGTAGTGGAGACATACATAAGATGTCAACCTTTCACATCTTTCTCTTGCATTTTTTGATATTTAAATCCATTTCTGAAAAAATGAAACCTATTTCTCAAGTTCTGAAGCTATATTAAGAATAAAGAGTGTGGGGAAAAACAGTACATCAGACAGAATGCCTTATGGTAATTTTTTAAAACCTCTTTGGGGGTTGCGGATGGTTCTGAGAAGAGTAAGAACTTTCCCCTAAGACAAAGTAAAGTTCTGGGCCTTCTCTTACTGGAGTCATCAGCAATTTTTTCTTTTTATAATATTTTCTTAGTTGTTAATGGACTTTATTTATTTATATATGGATTTATATATATTATATATAATATAATATATATGGACTTTATTTATTTATTATAATAATATTTATTTATTTATTTATTAATAATATTTATTTATTTATTTATTTATTTATATATACGGTGCTGAGAATCGAACCCGGTTGCCTCACACATGCTAGGAAAGTGCTCTACCACTGAGCCACAACCCCAACCCCCAGTTTTGTTTAACTGATTACTCCCTCCACTCTCGGCTGTCTGCTTTAGGCCCGCCTCACACAGCGCACCCTGGCTGCACTAGAGCTTGACTCCACCTCCGAAGTATGAAAGGCTGGGAGCCGGGTTTGGAGTCTAGTTTGGAGTCTGCGGGTTCCAGGAGGCCGCGATTGAAAGCGGAACCATAGTGACTCGCCTCTGTTTCCCACCTGAACGCAAAGGAAAAGGAACGGAAGCTAGTTTAGGGGACGTATTTGGAAAAAGGACGCGCTACTCTGGTTGCCTTCTTACTTCGTTTCTCGGCCGTGTTCCCCGAGATGTCGGCGTTTCTACCTGTTCGCCCTTTCACCCGCCTCTCTTTTCCCTTTGGAACCCCGGAAGCGTCGGTGGCTGCAATCGTGCTGCTTGGTGCTCCGCTCCGAACGGTCAGGTACTGCATTTCAGAGCTACTGGCCCCGCACCCCTCCGGTGCATGCATTTGTTGTTCCCGGCTCTCTGGGGTCGAGGTTATAACCCGCAGAGTCTAAAAGCTGTGTAATCGTCCTACAGAGAGGCGAAGTTATTTTGTCTCCCAGCCTGTTTTTATGGGCTCATTCCTTCCCCTTCATTTATTTAGTTCATTATTGGAAGTACTTACAGTGTGTCATTACCTGGTGTTAAGCCTGGATCAAGACAGTTGAGCCATTCCCGACGGCATAGGTTTACCAAGCAGGTGATTCAAGTATAACAGAGTAAAGCTGTGGCAGTTTAGGTGCGAACAGTGTGCTGTATTCATCCAACAAGTAATTGCTGGGAGAGCAAATAGGGACACCTAAACCTTGGAGGAGAGATTTAGGGTATCCTTTCTGGAAGAGAAGCCAGGTAAAATCTGAAGGAGGACGACTGGTTGATGTGAGCCAGAGAAGGTAAAGGAGTTGTGGCATACTTGTTTTGGTATGCTTGGTTGTGAAAACCTAATTCCACTGCTTACGTTCCATACAAAACTGTTTGGGACCAATTTGGTTTAATGCAGTGATGAAGCAAGTTTCTGGCAGAGGAATGGGAAGGATCAGCTGGATGGAGAAGGAAACCCCAGACGTAGAATTAATAGGATGTGACATAATGAGATAATAGTAGAGTGGTCAGAGAGCAAAAGGTTTCAGCTGATTGCCTTAGAGGATTAAAGTATCATCAAGTGTTAAGAGAATGAGAAAGAGTTGTGAGAAAGAGTTTAAACATGTCAGAGTTTTTAGAACACAAAACTTTTTATGGTAGGAAGCCCATCAATACAGAGGGTATAAAATAGGAAATCAGTCTGAGGGAAGAGCTATTTATTGAAGGAGTTTTTGGGTATGTTGCATTTGAAGTGGTGATGAGATGTTCTCAGTGGAAACAACAGGTGGGAAGTTAGTGTTATGGAATTTACATGATATTCCTTTAATAATTGTAGATTATTTTCTTAGATACTCTAGCAGTATTGAAAGAAAACATTGTAAAAAGATTATATGTGAAATTCATCCTCTTCATTGTCATCTTTCTGTTAAAATACCTTTAATACTAACTTTCAGATAAAAAAATATTTGCAGTATTTCCTTAATTTGAATTGTCCCATATATTAGAGTCCTGTGTATTGATTAAGATACTGGTTGTGCAGTTTGTTTTTCATTCCAGTTTTCAAGTGCCTGATGTGATAGCCTCACATCAAATAGTTTCAGCATTTTTGAAAATTGCTCCTTATATTAAAGTGTCACTGTCCTAGCACTACTATTTGTTAGCTTTGAGAATTTAATATTGTTTAACCCAGAGTCTAATGCGGGGATCAGACTGCATCAGAATCACCTGGGGTCTTAGTTAATATACAAATCCCTGAGCCCATTCCAAACTTACAAACTAAGAATCTTAGGAATCTGTTGGTGGTGGTTGTTTTGTTTTTAGTAGCAGGGATTGAACTCAGGGGCACTCGACCACTGAGCCATATGCCCAGCCATTTTTATTATTTTATTTAGAGATAGGGTCTCACTGGGTTGCTTAGTGCCTTGCTGTTGCCATGGCTGGCTTTGAATTCTCAATTTTTCTGTCTCGGTCTCTGAAGCCACTGGGATTACAAACATGCACCACAGCACCCAGCTAATGAATAATTTTTTACACATTATACCTGCTTATTCAGACTAACATGTTCATTAGTTTTTAAAATTCTTCAATATCAAATACCAAAGAGATATTTGACTTACCAGAATAAATTTAGACATTTGCGTTATTTAAAAGGAAATCTTCTGTGTAATCACATGTGTTCTTTTTCATAAGTGTACCTCCTGAACAGAGCAGGACAGCTGTAATCCCTGAATATTCTCTTTTCCACTTGTTTTAAAAATACTTTTATTGTGTGTGTGTATGTATGTATGTGTATATGTGTGTGTGTGTATATATATATTTATATATTTTATTATTATTTTTTTTAATGTGCTGGAGATCGAATCCAGTGCCTCACGTGTGCTAGGCAGGCACTCTACCAAGAGCCACAACCTCCTTCCTCTTTTCCACTTTTGCTGAACTTGCAAAATTTGTATTGCACACCTTCCCTTGGCCCAATAGATTAAATCAATATAGAACCAATTCATAGCTTTGGTTGTTTGCAGGAGGCCTGAAGCCAATTAAGTAATTAAGCTGTAAAAACTAATTAAGCTATAATACTTGACTGATTGACTAAGCTCTAGCCAATTAAGTTGTTTTATATTCTTCTCTTCAATTTTTCTATAAATGCTCTCTGGTCACCTTCTTGGTGGGAGTTTTCAGGATCTGCTCTGATGCCAGGAGCTGCCCAATTTGCAGATTGATTTGATCATATTCTACTTTGCTCAGACTCTACTAAATTAATTAATTAATTTTTTTATACCAGGGATTGAATCCAATTGAATATAGATTGAACTCTGATCTACATTTCTGGTCCTTTTTATTTTGAAACAGGGCCTTGCTGAGTGGCTGAGACTGGCCTCAAACTTGGTGATCCTCCTTCCTCAGCCTTCTGAGTGGTTGGGATTATAGGCATATGTTACTGTGCCTGTCTTTTACTAAATTGAATTGTCTAAGAAATTTTCCTTTTAACATTACAAGTAGTGATTGATTAAATGGTATGTCTCTCAAGAAAGTTGATCAGAATAGCACACAGGGACTTTTGTGAGTAACCTTTCTTCATAGAGATTTTGGATTTGAGAATAATATTTATTAACCATGTCAGTGTTTCCCAACCCTTTTTAATATTATGGAACCCACAGAAAATATCTGAGAGCTGGGGTTGTGATTCAGTGCTAGTGTGTAAAGCCCTGGGTTTGATTCTTAGCAGCAAATGAATAAAACCTATCCTGGGGTAAATGGAGGGAAAGGAAACAACAGACTTGGGAACACCAACAGTCCTGGTGTCATCCAGCCACCCTAAGAACCAGATAATCAGTATTACCTCAGCATACCTGTATTCATTTGTGGCCCATCGGTGTAGACTTAGGCTTTAGTAATCTCTAAGCTACATGATCTTGGGTAAATTACTTCTGACTTTGTTTCCTTATCTGCCAGACAGGAACTATGCCTACCATATGATGTTGATGTGGATATAGGAAAATGTTTATAAATTATGTTGCATGAGGCTAGGCACATAGTAATTGCTAATACATGGTAAATTGCTACTGTTATAATTGTTAGTAATAATTTAAAAAAAGCAAATGGAAAGGGCTTGAATTGAAAATCATTTTAAATGCAGAAGAAATGTTTTGAGTTATTAATTATTTTACAGTATATTTTTCATTTTTTCTTTAATATATCTTTACAGGACAGAAAATAATATTCCAAGATATTTTGGCACTAGCACTGTGACCTATAGCAAGAAAGATGAGCAGTATGTTCCAACTGTTGCAAGTCCTGAGAAGACCTCAGAGAACCAAGGCAGAATAAAGGAGAATAAGAAAAAAGGCTTGTTAGACATTATTAAGGATATGAAAGTTGAATTAAGCACAGTAAATGTACAAACAACAAAGCCAACCAGCAGGAAAACACTCAAAAGTTTGGAGACAATTGGCAGGCTTCGAAGAACTCCAGGAAATGCTCCAAAGAAGGGGTAAATTGAATTGCATTTTGAATGTTCTTTGAAACTAATTTTTGAAATTCCAAAAAGCCTTTTTCTTTTACTAAAAATATTTTTAATTAGAGTACTTGGGAGATGTTGAATTAATAAACATCAGCTTATAAACACAGGAACTCAAATTACTTGAGGAATGCTTTTATTGTTTATATTTTAAGTAATAAAACGATATTTGTATAAAATCAAAGGAAAAGAGTAGTGGGTCTAATTGAGAATTCCACACATTCTCTTATATAGTCATTAATGTTATTAACTGTCACATGGTTGCTTCTTTAAACTTAATTAACAATATCGTGTACATCTTGTTTTGAAAGTTGTTTTATGTCTGTAGAGGACTTGCTTTTTGAAATGTTTTAGCCAATATCACTCCCCAGTACTTCCCCTTTCTCTCCTCCCTCTCCTTGGTCCCTTTCCTCTCATCTACTGAGCTCCCTTCCATTTTCATGAGGTTCCCCACCACTACCTTTCTTTTCCTTTTTCATCCTCTAGCTTTCACATGTGAGAGGAAACACATGACCCCTGGGGTATTTTCTATTCTCTGAAAATATAATCTGCCATTTCTGGTAACTTGATAACTGTAGAAAGTCAACTATAGTGTAGGCAGTTGTTAGGACAAAATTGACCTTGATTGATAGGTTGCATCTGACCTCAGAGCAGCAGGTATCTGATAAGGCCACCATCCTTAGGGCTTCCCTGAGAGCTTTTTCTCACCACTGCCTGTCCTTTGCAGCAACCCTGGAAACAGCTTATGGCCTTGTTTTTAAGAGCTGTTATTGTTGTGGGGCACTAAGCTAGGCAGCTCCCTGGCCTATGTGATGCAGATCTTTCCCTTTTTTTTTTTTTTTTTGAACTTGTGATCCTCTTGCTTCAGCTAGCTGCACCACCGGGATTTGTAATGCGCCACTGTGTGCATTACTGCTGTGGTTCTATCTTTTATCTTCTTTTAATTTTTTAAAGATGTTGATGGAGCTTTATTTTATTCATTTATTTATATACGGTGCTGAGACTCAAACCCAGTGCCTCATACTTGCTAGGCAGTCCTCTAGCATTGAGCCACAACCCCAGCCCTCTCTTTTATCTTCTTAATGGATAGGCCATGAATATCTGTGGGTCTCAATGTTTGGTGACACCTAACTTACATCTGGTGGTTATAGTAATGACCAAAATTTCTAGTTTCTGATTTAACATTCTTACAATCAAGGAACTACCTGCCCTAATCATCCATTAAGAAGGCTTCAACTATTATTAATTGATCTCCTGCTTGAAATTTAGATTAAATTTAGATTATTATTAGTATCAAGATGCTGTGGGCTGGGTGCAGTGATTGGGAGGCTGAGGCAGTAGGAT